ACAAGATAACCTCCGCTCTGCAGAAGGCCTACAGTGGTACAGGATGACTGTGAATGGGAAGTGGGGAGGGGGGGGGGTCAGACGGGCAAGTAAGAGCAAGATGGTGACTTGAACAGTGACATTTGAAGTCAACTGCGGAGAGGCAGGGCTCCCCTACGTCTCTGTTTCTGACATACAAGCAGTTTATCTGGGAGCCATTGTCACAGCAGAAACCCTCCACACACGTCTGTCCTTTATTTCAAAGATATCCAGCACTCCATCATTTTGGTCACAGGGGTAAAAACATCAGACATTCATTATATTAATGAGACTATGTTTCCCTCATTTAAAAGTGTATTTGGCATGAATAATGGAGTGAGAATGTGGATAATTGCTATCAAATCAACAGATGGCTTTAAAAAAAACACTACCCTTACTAGTTTTATTTGATGTTAATTGATATTTCAGTCCCTGCCTTTGTCCTGGCACATGTGTGTGTCCTAACCACACATGATCAGACCGCCATTTCATTACACTCATGAATCTGGAGCGAAATGTCCAGAAAAATATCAAACGAAGACCACTGGAAATTCCCAGGTAACCATTATATTGTATTGCTGTATCGCTCTACCTTTTACCAATTGTGTGTGATATGCATCTTAACCCATAACCCCCCCCCCCAGTCACCCCAAGGTCAAGGCTTGTGGCTAAGGGTGACCCGGTGACCGGGTGTTTGCTTTTTACATATTTTATTGCTGTCTGCTTTTTGCATAATGTTGATTTAAGATGTTTTTTTTTATTATGCTGTTCTAAACTTTTTATGATGCTCACTTTGGATTTTTCTTTTATCTGGTTTTACTTTTTTTGTAGAGCACTTTGCAACTTTGTTAAGAAAAGTGCTATATAAATAAAATGATTATTATTATTATAAAGATTTTATCTGTTGCATCTTGGCTTATTATATTTACACGTATTGTTTTGTGGGGTCACAGCTGTTGTGGTAGATAACATGTATATTATATATATTTAAAAACACTTACATAATGTCTTTGTTTTGATCAGAATCAACAGCATAACTCTAGTTTAACCAAAGAGTACCATGGGACTACACTGTCTCATTCTTATTCAGACTGCACCTATTATTGACAGCATTACATTGTTGTCAACGTACAGTAATGCTTTGAGAATAGATACATTGTGTTTTGGCTTCAATACAAGTCCTTCCTCTGGTCTTGCAGTAAACTCCAACACTGTTAAAACTGTGATGACGTTATCTTTTTCTAACTGTGAAGCTGTCACAGTCGGACTCCAGCATTACAGTTTGATAATTATGATAAGACTTATGAACAAAGACTGGACTTATGGCCACCGAGGTCAAAGGAAGGGAAGGACAATGGAGGAGAATGACTGCAGACTGAAGGTGTCGGCAGTCTGTCAGTGCAGTTACAGCAGTTGTTGTTGGTTTGCTGCAAGTGAGCTCTGAGTTGAACTCTGACCTTCCTTAAACAGGGACTGTGAATGAAACTCTGCTAATGTTCAATTTGTTTGATGCCCCACCATTTGATGCCATTTTTATAATGTTTTTTTTCTCGCTTGGCACCTTCTTCAATCAACTGGACATCCAGCCAAACGCCAAAATCCCAGAATGGAGCCTTGGGCAACCCCACATTATACTTCTATGGATTATTATTGTGATTATCATTATAGAGGCCCATTATTTAGATCTTTATTAAATATTAAAACTTAGTTTATTATCTAAATTGAATCCAAGTAGGAATGCTGCAGGTCCTGTAATGGGACCATATACAGTAGCTGTTCTTACTTTAACTAGTGGTCGCTTGGATTCAGTTGTATCTGTGTTTTGTGACTGTGTTTTACAAATGATAAATAAACAGAATTATAATATGCTGGTTTAAAATTCTGACAAATTATACTCTCATAATCATGGCAAGATGTTTTGAAGTTTCTCGTCTTATTTCTAGGATTACAAATGGAAACTGGTCCTGTCTTCTAGAATGAAGTGCGTATGCTCTTCATTTCCTCCTTTCTTTCTTTCTTGGATAAAGTAGCAGTGTGTCTGGCAGGTTGTGTTTTTTTACTTTAATACAAATGGATCCGAATCCACTTTGCCATCCTCCAAAACCAATTCTACCTCCCTCCTTGCTGATGTTGGTCAATGGCACTGATGAGGTTACAAAGGTGAAATATGGCCCCTGGATCTGGGGATAAACAAATTATAACCAGGTCGCCTGAGGCCAAATGTTCCACTTTACAGAATTATGCCTTTGGTGTGGTGACAATGTGTCGCCACCTAATTTCATCTACATCTCAAACCACTGTTGCATTTGATCAGTCAGAGGGGAAACACGTATGTGATGATGCTTTAAGGATCTTTACTTTTTGGGCCATGCATGATTAAATACAAAGCTAAATAGAAAAATATACTTTTTCACATGATGCCAAAAGATGGATTTTAAGAAATAAGATTTGACACAGTATCTTTGATTATTATATTGATTGGTATTTGGCGCAATGATTGAAATATGTTTTTATGTTTGTATTTATGAATTAAAACTGTCTTTAGTATTTACTGTTTTTTGAACCTGTATTTGTATTAATTGCATTAGTTGTATTAGTGTTTAATGTGCAGATGGAAATTATTCTGGAAGCTAAATTTGGTACTAAACATCTTTTCTGCTTGTATGAGAATAATGTTTTTGTGCATTGTCCCCATACAAATAAATGTAATAAAATAAACTAATCCAAAAAGGATTAGTATGTTTATCTGATTCACATACAGTTGGCGCAATAATTTTTCCATTTCAGGTTTCAGTTTCAAGAAATAACATAACGGTTTGTAGATTTTTAGCCACAATGGCAGCATGGCTGTATGAGGATGGTTAAATGGTCCAGATAGAAATATCTCACCAGGTGTTTTGCTGAGAAATATTTCACACGTATTTATGATTCCTAGAGAATGAATCCTAATGAAGTTTCTTTGAAGTTGACATTTATGGTTTTGAGTGAAAAGTCTCAACAACTCCCCAACAATATTTCCTTCAAGTAATTTAATCAAAGTTCAATCCATTTTCTGTCCAATTTAGCAAAATACTGGTTTCATATTTTATACCCAGTATTTTCTATTGAGGCTGAAATTACCCTGAAATTACAGTGATTGCAGAGGGAGACAACTACAGTTATTATCATCATCACACATCATTTACAGGTTTACGACTCACCTGGTGTAGGCTGGTACGTGATTTGTGAGGAGCATTTTCCATGTTTACTCAATATAAAATCCTCTTGTTAGAATAAAGTAGCAAGAGCTTGCTAAATATATATCTTTAAAAATAGAAATCAAAAACAGTGCTCCTGGAATTAGGTTTTACTTTGCCAATGTTATAATCAGATAATGACATCAGGATTGAGCTTTTTTTCACCAGATAAAACAAATATCACAGACAAGCAGTGACTCATCTACATACCTAAGTATTTACAAAGAAACAAGCTGAAAATGAGACCTTCACTTTGAATTTACAACAAACTACTGGGGGGAAAAAAAGAATCTAATTCCTGTTTGTATTGTTGAATTATGAGCTAATGAATGAATGAGTTTCACACGTGTAAGTAATGAAAAATCCTTCAGGAGATCGATTGAAATGAAATTGAGTTGACCCCTAGGCTGAGGTCAGCAGAACCAAATGCCGCTTCAGTCAAACTTAACCCCTGCCAGGACACCCCCATGTGTCCTCTATCTGGTTTGACAGCAGCCGTTGTTCCCGGGGGAGGGAGGAACGGAGGGAGGGAGGAACTTGTCTCCCCTGATGGCTCACTCGAGGGTGACGGTTTGGAAAGTCCACTTTGACCCTTGACGTCAGCCCTTCTGGAGTGGACAGTGATGCCCCCCCCCCCCCTCCCCCACACACACACATACATACAGACACACACACACACACCCTCTCAGAGGCTGTTTGACCTTTCAGATGACCCCTGGACAGTGTCCACTGTCAGTCATGTCTTGGCTGTTGCAGTGTGGCTTTGGACACAGCAAGATCGTGAAAGTGTTCAGATCTTCCTCTTCTTTTGCAGCTAAATAATCGTATCTTTACATCAGGTTCAACAAAAGAAAGAGAACTGCACAGAGGAGTTTCCTTTGTTTGATCCAGTGATGCAGATACTCTCTGGTCGTTGCTGAGAGGAATAAATCGTGCTTGTACTTGAAAAAAGATTGAAGGATTACAAGGCTGTCTGTTTGAGAAAACTCTAAATGTCTTAAAATGCATGAAACATTGTTAAAAACCCTGAAAATAAAAAATCCAATCACTTTAAAACTATATCCTAAATAAACTATGATTATTCAGTGGTTCCCAACCTGAATGGGGTTCAAACCCGCTAAAACGTCCTAAGGGGTCACAAGATGATTAAACAAAAATGAGAGAAAACACATTTACTTCATAAAATTAGGGTGTTTTTTTAATGAAATACTAGGTATCTAGGGCCTCCTAAAATCCTTCAAATGAAACAATCTGAGAAGAAACACTTTTTGGTTCAACTGCTCTCAACTTGTATCCACACTAAGGACACACCTGCGACAAGGGGGAGCAAGTAGAGATGATTTGCTTTCAGGCGTCATAAGGAAGAAGGTTGGGAACCACTGCTTTAGCACACGCCACAAAACTCTGTAGAGATCATTTATTCATCAGAAAAAAAACAGCTGATTCCTCAAAAATCCTCCTGTTTTTAAAAGTCAACATTATGACAGGAACTTAACACAAGGATAGTTTTCACTCAGGGTGGGCAGTGGCATTGGGACAAATTATATATTTCACAAGCCCATAGCACCATCTGATGTCTAACCACAGTACAGCAAGAGAAGAGCTCGACACTGAAGATGCATTTTGATGTCTAGTGTTTTGAATGTCTGTATGAGTGGAAATAGAAACACAAAGTTCAACACAAAAACACATGTCTCTGCTTTTATTAATTATACACATAAACCACACACCATCTGTGCTTTTGTTGCAGCACAAGAGAAACAGGAACCCTCACTGCTTGGCCCCTGACTGCATCGTCAGATGTAGGATTTGTGGTAATGAAGAGAACCTCCCTTTACTGAGAATACACCGGAGTGCAAAAAATACAGCATGAACCAGTAACATGGTCGTCATAGCGAAAGATATATTGAAAAGTCATAACATGCAGAAATGAAAAAATGAGAACAGGATATCGGCTCACAGAAATCAGTGCTGAGAATGTAAACGCACATTTTCAAATGCTACATTCAAATGCCTATCAAGTCGATAGGTCAGTGGAGGTCACATCAGTCACATCTTGAAGCTTATTGATGGATTTCAAGTGGATGAAATCAACACTGATACCATATCTGTATTCAAATTTCAGTCAGCAGAATGATCTTTATTATTAATGATACATTATTAATATAGTTACACATGTTTATTAATCGTATTAATTAATCACCAAAAGTAATACAAAAACAAAATAAACACCCCTCCTCCTAAAAAACAGCTGAGACAAGGAACAGAAAAAATAGTAAACATTTTTTTAATGGAATCCTGAGTAACAAAAATTTTATTTTACATTTATTGTTTTCTAAAGACTGAAGCACAAAGCTTTTCTTCAAATTTTGAAAGAGACTGAAGAAACTGATTCACAATGAAGAAGATAAAGGGAAATATATTTACATATGTTCAGCTCTGCCAAAGATACAATACAGCGTTTATCTGATATATACATATGCATGCATGCATCTGCAGACAAAACAAGGTACTGTAAGTCAGTCTATGTTCACCATCCGGAGGTGACTCTGGAAACTGCACAGGACAAGCTGCACTATCTGCACTCCAACTAATGAAAGACGACTGTTTAATATTTTAAATGGTAATCATAATCACTGAGCAAATATAAAAATCAAGCCAAATTTATCAATTATATAATATACTTAAAGCAACAATGTAAAGCCATAACTATAGTTGAAACTGATGTGATTTGCTGTATTCCAGCAATATGACTATTTATCTTGTCCCTTTTCATGTGTTATGTTGGAATGTTCTAACAACAAAGGATTTTGTTGCCATGACTGTTTTTGCAAAATGAGAATCGTTAACAGGTACAGTTGCATTATGAGAAAACACATATTTCAAACATATTCCTGGTTTCAACAGAGTAGATTATCATGAATCTTTTTGACAATCTTCGTCAAGAGGTTCTTTGTTGGACTGAACGATGCCACGATCTCTTCAATCTGTTTGATCCTGAAAATCCAATAAAAAATATTATTCTTAGTTGTTTTGTTCTTTCTGGCCCTTAAAAAACTGTGTAATATAGCTTTAATATGATTATCAGCAAAGCCTTTATGCTCGCACAACACTTTGCTTTAAGTAAGGGTTAAATTTGCATGCACCTCCACCTGAATGTCAAGAGTAAAAGTTTCCTTATTTTAAAGGTCCTAAATATGTTAATTGATAAAAGTCATACTTACTCAGAGCTTCCGATCATGTTCTTAAAGCTCTCTACTTGAAGGACACAGAGGTGGTTGATCAAACTGACAGAGAGGACCACCTCAAACTTGGAACTTTTCTTGAGACTACTGAAGACAATGTGCACTCTGGAGGAAGAAAACAGGACATTATACAATGATTGTGATAATGTGAGAATTAATTAATCAATTTATGCCCAGACACAAATTGTTCCTGATGTGATGTTGAGTAAATGTCTAAAGTCATTAATGCCCATAAGTACCACTGCCTGGAGCAGGGTTCGGCAGTACAGTACCAATCTAGTGACACATTTGAGGCCATTTTGTTGGTTTTGGACTTCAAATTTATCAAAATGGGGAAATGAGGTATTGAGGTGCTTTAAATCAAAATGTGCCTGATGATATTATCACAGTTTCAAATCCTGATCCTCAAAAAATGTTGGTAAATTTTAAACTTTAAAAGGTAAATTCAGCTTTAAAATGTGCTTAATATTGCACAGAGGTAAGGAATCTTTCAAAAGGAAAAAGTCTTACTGAGTGTCGACACAGCTGATGTTCAGGATGTCGAGCCTTAGACCTCCCCACATTTTCAGCAGACGCAGCTCCTCTCCCAGCAGACGACAGCGACTCACCACCAGGCCAACGTCATGGAGCAGCTGCATACACCAGGAGACAAAAGCCATCAGAAGAAAGATCTGTCTGACTCAACTAAGCATATAAGAAAAAAAAAAAAAGGAAAAAAAAGTACAATATCTGCTCTGGGACTACAAATTAACAGAACTTTAATAAAACTGGCCATAAATTAAAAATATAGCAGCATTTTAATAGCTAGAATATGTACAATAACAACAACATCCAACCCTGGATCTTTGTCGTTTCTCCATTTGTGCATACCTTTGGCACATGTTTACTTGTTGGATACTTCTCCACCCATGAGGTTTCACTCTCAATGTACTGAGAGAGTAGTTTGTGAACGAGGCGGGCATGGCACTGCGACTTCTCATCTAGTTGGAAAACAAAATTTACAAATCACCAGTTACAGCTATGTCCTCCATACTTAAAATGCCAATGGAAAGATTGGAAGATTTAAGTAATATGAATAGGACATGGAAGGCAGTCAGATAGCATAGAGACGCATAACATATATATATGTATATATATATGTAGATATTGTTTTTTTCTCACCATCAAGTTGGAGTTTGAAGGTGATGTGAGATATTTTCCTCTCTGACTGATTATCAGCACCTGTTCCTTCAATAGAAACACAAATAGTTTGGGTGGTAAGCACTAGTTTTAATGACAAATTGTTCCCTGACATAAATGATGAGGTTTTCAGTTTACACAAAAGCAACAAGTATATTTTCTTTCTTTTTTGCCTGTACAAATGGATGAACATCTTAATTCAAAACGTTAAACTACAGTAAAATAGTATTAACTACTATTAATTAGACTATATAATAATATTTAAAAAATCTCACCTTTGTATTTTTCATACACCAACTGCAAATGCATGGTGTCATGGAGAAAAGTGTAGACTATGCAGTTGTCCTTCTTCTCTCCAGACCTCCATTCATTCACCCTGAGGTAAGACACATGTAAAAAGGTATTAACTTGAATATATTTGTGTACAAACACTGAAAATAAAGCTCACAAAGAGCACTGAGCGAGATAAGCTCAGGGGCTCATTAATAAAGAGTTGAGGAGAGCAACAGAAAACACACAGATGAAAATAGTAAAATGAAAGGGGGATTTTCTTAATGTGTGTACTTTAAAGAACAGACAAGGTTCAGCATTAACAGCTCTTTGCAAATGAGCTCCTACATGTTTCGAGAGCAAGGCCTATGCCTAAACATGTGAAAACCAATTAAACCTACATATGCAGCACGGTGACATGGCTCTTGAAGTTCCTCGTTTCAGCTTTCAGCCTCTTGATTTTATTTAAATCCTGCTGCTTCTGCAACTCCAGTTCAGACATTTGTCTGTGGCAGGAACAAAGAGAAGAATAAGAAACAGTCTACATTTCTGTTAGACATTACATGAAACAGATCCTTAACAACATTCTCAACTAACCTTTCATTATCGGCCAAAACTTCAGTGACTTTCTTAATTTCTGTAAAAAAACAAAACAAAACAGTGACCAGTTCAAGCTTGCGAAAAAAATCAAACAAATAATAAAAGTTAAGATGATTAACCCAAGTTACCTTCCTGACGTGATTTCAGACTTGGTTTATCTTCAAAGCCTTTTTCTTCAACTGCAGCAAGTTCTAAAGCAAGGAAAAATAGATAAGGTGGTAAAGATACATTACATTTATAAAAACTGCACAGATATGGAAGCATCATAAACTGGACAGCGATGGGTCATTTCCCCACAGTAGCTATACCTGTTTCTAATTCACAAATACAGTCATCCAGACTTTTTATCATTTCATCTGCCTTCTCAATTGTTCCTCTCAACTTCTGTTGCTCCTCCTGAAAAGATGAAAATGACAATTACCTTCCACGTTTAAAACAATCTCCAATGTTGTAATTGAGTATTTCTGTGTGACGACTCTTACCAGATTAGCCTGCACAAGATTCGAGTACAGGTCCTCCTTCATTTCATGTGACTGAGCTTTGCTCGTCTTTCTGAAGAAGTTATTTCTCTCTTTTAGTTTTGCACCGAAGGATTTGAGCTGTGGATTCAGACAGATGGATATTTATGGGGAATCAGAAAAAGAAATATTTGTGGTCATCATGGTAGCAATTAGGAAAACAAATTGCAGTTATAAATAAATTTAATCATCCATTAATACCCCTTTCTCTGAAGAATCTCTCATCTCTTCCCACAAAGGTCTGTTAACAATCTTCAGGGGTTTGTCTAGGTCCCGCATTCGCACCTTAAACCTGTGGACATAAACAGGCCTGATTTAGAGTTTCAGTTGTAATATCTGAGTTTCCAGAGATAAGTTTATAAGTTTGATTCTGTGATTTCTGGCACACTGTTAAAAGATGATGTTCAGCGTTACAAAGCTGTGAATAAAGAATTCCATTGTGAATTATGACAATCCCCTAGTAAGAGTTTTCTGAAGGGCATTCACTCCAATTTAAAACGAAGCATAAACCCTTCTCATGGAAATAAAACCAACAGATAAACAGTTTAATTTGACAAATAGTTTAAATCTTTATACAATCTGAAGTGTACATACCCCTCCACCTTTTCTGTGAGGTTCAGGACATCTGTCTCGTACACTATCTGTTTAGGACGGCTAATATGCCTGTCTTTCAGTAAATCCATTGGTGAGCGATCTGTGTCTGACAAAATCTGCCAAAACAAAACACATGGTCACATCACTGCATTTGGCTGTTTCTTTTTTTTTAATCTTGAAAAATTAATAAAGATGAACCTACTCTGCCAGGAAGGATACTTTGCCGAGGATTATGGATGACGAAGTCTATGTTAAAGAGTTTAAAGAACTCTAACACAGTAATGGTGCCATCATCCAGTTTCTGTAATCAAAAAATAGAAGACAATTAAATAACTTGCATTAAGGAGTTAAGATTTCACTGATACTTTTGTAAAATATGCCAGCAAAATACCTTTTGCTCATCACTTGCATAGTCTTCAAGCTGGGATTCAAACAGGCTTTGTTTCAAAGCTGAGAAATAAGGAAATATATTTCACAAACACAGTACAAATAATTGTATCAAAGGAAGCATAATTATGTTGAAAGAACATGGGCAAATAAGGAACTTCATCCCATCTACGTGAAACCATAATAAGAACTTACTTGACTCAAATGCAGCTTCACATCTGATGCTGGTTGTGTGACTGGTGCTGGAGCCATCAGTAGTGTGTGTGGTCATATTCGGAGCTGTGCTAATGTTCCCATCACCCTCCACAAAATGAGACTGTAATTCCTTGCAAAACAAATAAACATACAAACAAAAAACAATTGGAAAATGCAAAAACACAAAAGACGAATGTCTTCAATAAAAAAAAGAAAAAGAAATTGTAATGTAATATAGTGCAAATTCTCTGTGTAAAAGCAAAATTTAAGTACTAGCTTGTCACTGAGGAGAGGTGACTATAATTTGACTTACCATTTCAACGTCAGTGGATGCTTTCATTCTCTTCTCATCCTCCATATTATTGTCATCTATTGGCAAAGGCCTCTTCTTTCCACTGACAGCAAAAATAAGGTCCTTTTCAAAAACATCTTCCTCTAAAAGCTCATCGATGTTGAATTCCTGGGAATGACTCACTTTTTCACTGACTTTCTGGGGACTCCTTGGGTCCAGCGTTTCAGACATATCTTCATAACTTCCAAGCTCTTCATCGTAAATATCACTCACATCATTGTTAGAATTACTCATTTGATTAGTAACATTAACAGTTATTGTCTTTGTATGGTTTCCCACAGAATTCACCTTCTTTGGATCATCGGGTTTGCTTCTCTGGGGGAGTTTCGGCTTAAAGCCTCCCATTGAGAGTCTTGACATAAGTTGTTTAGTCTTCAAGTTGAAAGGAGTAGTAGTAGTTGAGGCTTCTTCTTGTGTAAGACACTGAGCTTGTGTATTATCTTGACTATTTACCAAACCCATTTCAGGTTCAGGCTCCTCTACAGGCAGGGGTTGCGGTGCAGTTTCGTCTTTTGAGTTTTTGTCCAAGTTGTGGTCCAACTGGGCCAAAGGTGCTGTGCAGCTTTCCATGGCCATAGTATCAGGAGCTGTATTTATCATGTGGCTCAAACGCCTTACTTTTGACAAGACATCGGCTAAACTCATTCGTCTAGACTTTCGTGAATGTAACATATCAGCATCTTGGTCAATAGCACTGGGAGAACTTTCAATCTTCTGTGATAAAGAAGTGTTATTTCTTGGTTCAGGTTCTTTCCAGGTCGCAATTTCACTCAAGTCAGTGGAATCTGGATAGTTTGCAGTTACCACACCATTAGGGATAGATGAACCCAGTGCTTCATTGCTCTGCTGTGAAGTTGCCTCGGTTTCCTTCAAATGACCAGAATTGGGGTAGGATTCTTCTGTTGAAGAAAGACATTGAGGGAGTTTACCTGTGCAGGTTTGTCCCAAAATGTGGCCTGGCTGAGCTTCAGTCATATCCATGCTTACAGTGTTTTCTGAATAGTCTGTCATGGGTTTATATTGTGGCTTCTCCATGGGAGCTGGAACAAAACCTGGAGCTACATTTTCTGCATCCAAATCAGGCTTCTGCATTTGAAGGTAGCCATTTGTACTGGCACCTTCTAGAGGGGATGGCGCAGCCAGAGTAACTGCTTTGGTGATCACAGGATTAGTCCATGGGCCACTCATCTTAGACAGGGAGTTTTGAAGTCCGGGATCCAGGCTGTGTACTGACGAGGATCTGCTTCTTTCTCTCTTCCTCACAGTTAAAGGCAAATCTGCGTTTCCGTTGGTGGATATGATGTTTGATTCTTGGCATGGAAGAACTGAATCTGAAACTGAATTGCTGGCAATATTTACAGTGAGGCATTGGGTCATATCCATAGCTCCATCATTTGAATTGAACCTTGCTGTTTTCTCACAAGTAGGTAAAAAGTCCACATTTTGGTGTGACTGTGGTCCCAAATGACTTGCTATGTTAACAGTGCAACTTCGTCTCACATCCATAGCTGCATCATTTGCACTGAACGTCGCAATTTTCTCACAAGTAGGTAAAAAGTCCAAATTTTGGTGCGACTCTGGTCCTGCATTACTTGCAATGTTTACAGTGTGACTTTGTGTGACATCCATAGCTGCATCATTCGCAGTGAACCTCACCGTTTTCTCTCCACATGTAGGTACAGGGTCGACATTTTGGTGTGATGGCAGTTCAGAGACAGAGGAAATGTTTACAGTGTGACTTCTTGTCACATCCATAGCTGCATCATTTGAAGTGAACCTCACTGTTTTCTCTCCAGAAGTAGGTAAAAAGTCCATATTTTGGTGTGATTGGAGTCCCAGATGACTTGTAATGTTTACAGTGTGACTTCGTGTCACATCCATAGCTGCATCATTTGCAGTGAACCTCACAGTTTTCTCCCCACAAATAGGCAGACGATCAACATTTTGGTGTGATGGCAGTTCAATCTCCGAGGCAATGTTTACAGTGTGACTTCGCGTCACATCCATACAGGCATTATCTGCAGTGAACCTCACTGTCTTCTCTTCACATGTAGGTAAGAAGTTCAAATTTGGGTCGGGCCGTGGTTCGAAATGAGTGGCAATGTTGACCGTGTGACTCTGTGTCACATCCATAGCTGCATCATCTGCAGAGAACCTCACTGTTTTCTCTCTGCAGTCGTCTTCAGCATCAAAGTTGACCTGAGGGAGAAAGTCATGCAAAAAAAAAAATGAATGTGCTTTTCATGGAATTCTGAGTTAGCATCATATAGATAGATAGACGGATAGATGGAGATAGATAGATAGATAGATAGATAGATGAATAGATGGAGATAGATAGATAGATAGATACTTTATTCATCCCCTAGGGGAAATTAATGTGTCCATTAGCTCATTACTCCAGCGCCACTATCCATTACAAAACAAAAACAAAACACAAACAAAATTAAAAAAGTCTGCGATGCCATTCTGAAAGAAATAATACATGCAATCCTTTCAACATACCACTACAGAGAATACAGCGAATACAACTATTAGGAATTAAAGCTGGTTTAACTGATTTTAACTCGACGTAGAACAAGCTGAAAACACAACACACATATTATCATCTTATAAAATTGTTAGGGTGAATGTGTTGGATAATTGTATATATACACATTCAATAAATACATAAACATGAGAATTCATTTGGAATCATGTTTCTCTGCCCTTGATCAATAAATACTCTCCAGCAACTATCAGAAAGTTAAAGCTCACCTGATGTCTTTGCATCTTTGTCTTTAAAGAAGTCTTCAAAGAGTTCTCCATACCTAAATGTGGACATGACATTTTTAATCAAACTTAATTGAGACACCATGGAAGTGTCTAAGGTTCATTTATTACAACCTCTGTTCAATTGCTTTATTCTATATACCAGGAAAGCACTACATAAAATATAACATCATCCCTAAACGCATTCAATTTTTACTTTTAAAGCCATAACCATAACTCACATTCTCAAAGAAACAATTTGTTCTTTAGTTCAAATGTTACATTTTGATTTGTGGTGCTATTATTATCACTGTCCAAAAAGTCTAATTTTGGCTCAGCTATAATTAAACAAAACAATTTGGAAGGTTTGTTGTTCCCATACCTTTAAAATTAGATGATCCGGGTATTTCACTGCTCTGCAGTTCTGAAGTCATCTCTGTTTTCCTCAAGTTACCACTTTGGGAGTACATGTCTTGTGAGGGAAAAAGATACTGAAGAGGATCATCTGTATCTGCGATTCCTAAAATCTTGCCTGTTTGAGCCTCAGTAATATCCATGCTTACATCACCTTCAGGACAGATTGTAGCCCCATCTGATGAGTCTCCAATGTTAGAGGATGATGCAGCTGTCAGTGTCATTCTTGCAATCACAGGATCAAAGCTAAGGTCACTTGGTTTTGAGAGACCTATAAGGATGTTATTAAATCCTTGATCTAAACCGTGTGCTGACAGAGATCTGTCTTTAGGTGGACCATATTTCTCACTTTCTTGTGTCTTCACAGGGCGAACTGAATCTGACACTAAGTTACTGTCTATATTTACAGTGAGGCACTCAGTCATATCCATAGCTGCATCATTTGCATTGAATCTCAGAGTTTTCTCTCTGCAAGGTGAAAAGCCCAGATTTTGGAGTGACTGCAGTTTGAAATCAGTGATGTTGACTGTGTGACTTTGTGTCACATCCATACAGGCATCATCTGCAGAAAACCTCACTGTTTTCTCTCTGTAGTCATCTTCAGTCTCAAACTTGTCCTGGTGGTGAAGAAAAAAAAATCAATTTAAGTAATTTAAAACATTAATCTTTATTCATTCCTTTTAAAGCATTTTTGTTTATTTCAAAGGCAAATAACAAATGGGTCAGGATATGTGAAACAATACTGTATAACAAGTACAAACCAAATACAGCTATAAGAATTTAACTTTGTTTGCAAGAATTCAGTGCAAGTAAGCTGTATAATAATTTATTCTGCAAAAAAAACATGCATAATCTAAGTAAGTGAATAGTTAAGCCCACCTGATGTCTTTGCACCTTTGGTTTTAAAGATGGCTTCAATGAGGTTTCCATACCTAACGTGGATATAGAGAATTAAATAACCAAATTCCCCTATTTGGGAAATTAATACAATAGAAATTATGGCACTTTATAAAGTTGTTCTTTGTCCTAAACATGTTAGAAAATATAGGTTCTAAAATCTGTACATCATCATTTACATTACCAACATAACAGTCATGTTTTGTTCAAGTGGTCTGTGGTCTCATTTTGGTTACTTATTCAAAATAAACCAGAGGTTTTATGGTTTTCCATACCTGTATGGTTAGATGATCCAAGTGCTTCACTGCTCTTCTGTGCTGAAGTCATGTCTGCTTTCTTCAGACTTTCACTGTGGGGGTACATGTCTTGTGTGGGTAAAAGAAACTGAAAAGGATCATCTGAACCAGTGATTCCTATAATGCGGCCTGTTTGAGCTTCAGTCAGATCCATGCTCATGTCATTTTCAGAACAGACTGCACCTCCAACAGATGTTTCTCCAGAGCTGCGGCTTGTATTTAGCAACCGATTATCTTTACCTACATCAGCCCTCGGCGTTTTAAGCATGGACAGGGAACTGTTTGTGTTGATAGTGTCTTTAGAGGATGCTGCAGTAGATGGTACCATTCTTTCAATCGCAGGATTAACAGTGGGGCCACTTGATTTAGAGAGACTTGCAAGGAAGTTATTAAATCCGGTATCCAAACCATCTGCTGACATTTGCTGAGGACCTAATGGACCATGGGCAATGTTAACAGTGTGACTCTGAGTCATGTCCATAAACTCATCATCCGCAGTGAACATTATTGTTTTCTCTCTGCATTCATCTTTTGCATCAAAGTTGACCTGAAGAAGAAAAGGCACTTTGTTACCACATATTCACTAAAAATTTGCTTTCAACTGTAATGGGCATTGAAACAGAACATTTTGAAAACTGTACTGATGCATGTGAAGTGCAACTCATATATACAGTACATGAGCTGATTCTCCAAAAATTGAGCATATAATTTTATGTTGTACTTTTCATATGGTCATTAGTTTCAGTTGATGTCAATAAAGTATGAAGGATAATTTTCAGACAATAAAGTAAAATAATTAAAAATCTCACCTTGTGTCTTGGATGAGAAACATGTAGAGAAGGATTCTTCAAGGATGTCATATCTGAATATGAAAATTTAAATATAACAGAATTAGAGCTGCAACAACTGGTCGATAGATATAAATATTGGCTGGTTTAAGCCTCTAAAATTTTATGGATATTTTATGGACAAAACAATTAATCGGTTAATCAAGAAAATAATCTGGAGAATAATCAATAAATAAAATTGAAAAGTTCATGTTAAAAAAAAATCACTTACAACTGAGATATGATTGTAATATAAGATATATGAGAATTATGCACAAGGCATTTCAAATTATCACACAATCAGTTCTATTCCACACATAGAGAATGAAACATTATAGGACATTAAGAAATTATATGAGCATCTAAGGAAAATTATATGTGAAATTCTGGTTTTATGATGCTAAGTATCAAGACAAGGCAGTATGTACAGTAGTACTGAAAGAATTAGCCCAATAATCAGTTTAATTGATAGAAACTTCAGTACCTTTGGGGTCAGAATATCCCAGGGTTTTACTGCTCTGTAGCTGTTTGGTCTTCATCATCTCCGTCGTTTGTGATACTCTTTTTTTAGAGTGGGCATACATGTCTTCTGTGGGAAAAAGACACTGAAAAGGATCGTCATCATCTGTGACTCCCAGAATGCGGCCAGTTTGAGCTTCGGTCATATCCATGCTAACATTAACTTCTGGACAGAGTACACCGCCATCAGATGATTCCCTGGTCTTCATGGAAGTATTTAGTGACTTCTTCCTCATAGCTGAAACTGAAGGTGGAACCTGATTCTCTTTGTCCACAACAGCCTTTTGTGTTTTAATATTGGCAAGGGAGTTGTTTGTCTCAACGGTGGCACTTGGTTTAGATAGACTTGCAAGGAAGTTTTCAAATCCTGGATCCAAACTAGGCACTGATGAGGATAAGTCCATGTTTCTGCCAGTGGGTAGTGATACGGACACATTTGTCATGTTGAAAGTCCGACTAAGGGTCATATCCATGGATGCATCACCTGCAGTGAACATCACTGTTTTTTCTCCACCAGTTGGTAAAGCGTCATAGTTTTGGAGGGAAATGTCTGCAATAGTTGCATCACTAGCAATGTTTATAGTGTGACTGTGGGTCATGTCCATGAATGCTTCATCTGTAGAAAACATCACTGTTTTCTCCACAAGGTTTTCTTCAGTATCAAAGCTGACCTGGTGAAGTTAAGTTACTTTATGTCAGTCAATATTCATTGAGCATTATAATACTATAAGAAATATAATTATAACAAAGCAGTTTAACCATGCACTGGTAATGTAACAGTGGTAAGAAATACAACATTGATAAAACAACAAAGCATCATTGAGGAGTGACTTCAAGCTCACCTTATCCTGTTGTTGAGAAGCATGTAGAGGGGCATTTAAAAGGGTTGCCATTCCTAAATTTGGAGACTTGAATTCAGTAATAGCAAGGAACAGATTATCTAAGCATTTAGTAATAACTGTTTTTTAGGTAACAAACAAACAAAAAAACAAAAAAACATTGATATCCTTACCCATGATCTGTTGAGTCCCATCTTCCACCACCTGGACCCTTAATATAATATAATATAAATTGATGTTGTTAGGACAAATTTTAAATTATCATCTGAAATACAGCTGAATATAGCTTGAAAGGATCAAGTCACCTTACCTATTCTGTGTGGTTGCTGCCGCTGCTATGAAATAACAGGGCAAATATTAAAAAGGTGCTTTAATAAATATGGGAAATATGTGTTTATAAATATTACTACATTACATACTTGCTGTCATTATCTCTTGTAAAGGACTTCGGGCAGGAGAGGCATTTTTCACATCCCTGTAAAGTTAAAGTATTGATTGGGATGAAATATCAGTGTATTTCTATATGAAGAATGAAATGACTTTGGTTCAACTAGTGTCTCACTTTGAAAAGAGAAGAACATCGTTGGCAGGGGCAAAACTGACTCTTCTTGAATTCCTTTTTTCCACAGGTCTGGCACATTCCACCTTAATTAAAGTAAAGACAATATAAAAAAGTTTAATATGCATACTTAAAAAAATTATACTGTAATTATCAGGTAGAATTCACAAATCAAGTAATCCATTTACCACATTTTCCTGTTGCTCTGGGTCAGGAAATCTGGCCGATTTCCGTGGGGCTTTTAAAATCTGGAAAAAAAAACAAAACATAAAATAATAATAATAATATTAATAATAATTGTAAATGATATGGACCTAATAAAAAGAATAAATATATGCATATTTTTTGTCTAATTATTTATAGCACTGACCGAGGAAATGCGCCGTTTGGAGAATCCACTGCTTTCACTGTAACACAAAACATGAACCACTGTAAGCTCTGGTGTGCATGCATGTTAAGTGAATCCAGCGATACCACAAGACACATGTTAATGCCATGGCCTTCAGGTAATGTATAGACAGCTTTCTTTCAATAACATAATTTTTACTCACTCATTCTTTGCAGACTCCTGGGACTCCATCTTCAACTGTAAAAGTATGAACACAAGGTTTTATTCCTTTAAATCACAGCTTCAGCAGTATATCATTGAAATTAAGTTAATGAGACATGGCCTTTTCAGTGGCATACAGTACTGTGCTTAGGTTTTAGGCGCTTTAGGCACAGATGTTTAGTCTTATCCTTCAAAGAATAGCATCAGGGAAGCATCTGATCAGTACCAAAGTTAAAGAATGCAGCAAATGCTGATTTGATTTTTTTGCTTTTGTTTATTGCACTTTGTACAAAGTTAATTGATATATTAAACGCTCATGACCTTATTTTTGAAAGCATACTCACGTTACTTTTAGTGCCTAAAGCTTTTGCACAGTTCTGTATATGCAACATTTGCCTGAACTTCTATTAGCATACTGCAAGAATAGCCTTTTCTTGGGCACCAAATAAATAACAAAAATCAGCTTTTTGGGTGAGTTCGTTGACAAAGACTGTTTTTCAGAAACAGGTTTTGTTAGTGCAAAAAAGAAAATTCCCTCTACGGTATGATAATACAGGTGTCTGACATTCAGTCTTCATAACAAGATAATTGTGCCTCGATGATATCAGGAAAACGTGGAAGTTTGCAAACATTAGTTATATGCTTTTTGTTAAGACGTTAGGTGGATATGGATTTCCCCCATGTCAACAAACGGTAACTATACCAACGCAAACACTTTCCTAAAATCGTTAATGAGTTTAAATTGATCTTCATTTAGCATAGAAAACAAACTAAACATTATTGACCTCGCAAGCAAGAATATAAGACTTAAAGTGCGCATATTTAGTCAACGCTAACGTTCGTATTAGCTTGCCATTCGAAATATGAATAAGAAAACAACGGAAAACCAGATAATAATTACAGGACATACCTTGAAGTTGTTACGAGCTAATCCCTCGAGTTTTACAAGGGATACGGCTTTGTTATTACTTGTTAATTAATTTAAAATACTTTTCATGTCGCTTATTTTTAGCTGGGTCGGTACGCGAACCTGCTCACTGGGGCTAACGTCAACGAGCGTTAATGCTAACGTCTATAGTTTTGAATTTAGCCGCCTCCACGCATGCGCAGTGTATACTGACTCTTCGCTTGTCTCTGTTTAAATTGGCCTCTGCAGCAAAGTAATCTCGACAAAAGAAAGTGTACAAACTTATAAATGACGTTTTTAAATTGACAAATACATTAATTTGACGACCCAGGTATCGTAAATGTACTTTATTTATACAGGAAATGGCGTAATCAGACCGGAAATGACCACATAGGGCGGGACGTTTTTAAAACTGGTGCGGCTCAGTGTTGACTGTTGACAAATCTCATATTTACCGTATCCGTAGAGGTAAGCATTGATGTTGTGTTACGGTACCATATAGCACATATTAGTATGTTTCAGTTATGTTAGCTTAGCTTACTCGTAAGGCAGTCTAACAAGAGCGTGTTATGCTAGTTTTTGTGTTCCTGCCGAATGTTGTATTTGAGAAAATGGCACCAAACTCAATTCAATGTCTGTCAGTTTCTTTGATCCACGTAACAGCAAACATATAGGCATCGGCAACCCATGACTTAGCTATTGAATCTTTAGAATACATATAGGCAGAACCTGTTTGAAAATATGTCCAGACTAGACTTAACTCTAAAGTTACTTAAACACATATTATTTTTCATTACAGGTGGCCTGTCATTGCTGGCATCACGGAAAGAAAAATGTCCTCAAAAATTCCTAGAGGTGAGCAGAATTGTTTAGTAGTTCTTGTTTTGCACTTTCTATGCCATCAAATTGACGTGTATTTTGATTTGATAAAGTCAAACAGCGCTGATGCCTGATAAACAGTATTATCTGTTTTCCAGGTGCACAGTTACCTGCAGAAACGAAGAAAACGGGTAATAAATTTGAATCCAAAGACACAGCAGCTGCATCTGCAAATGCTGCCCAAAAATCAGATGGCATCCTTAGACCTCAAAAAGAAAACTTACCAAGGTAAGAAAAAAGTTTTGACATACATAAATGGCATAAATGCCCACTCACAAATCCACAGGTTGTAATGCCAATCTCTCTCACTTACTGTACTGCATATTCTTATAGGACAGAGTGGCACAGGCTGGTAAACGTGACCCATAGTTTTTCAAAGCTTTGAGCGTGAGGGGGTCGGCAGGGAATAATAAGAGTGAGTCCAAAAACTTAAAATGAAATACAAAGTAAATACATTAAGAGAGTGCTCCATCCCATCGAGACAAACCTGGTCTTACAACGATCAGATCTTCACAGCCATCCATCCTCTCTGGTCTCTCTAGTATTCTTCGGTGTAAATCATCAAAAAACTTACACCTGATATGTGCCGGGCTCCGTATGTTTGCTTTACAGCTATACAATTAAAGGTTTTTTTCACTTTTGTCTTCCAGAAAAAATGTTGCTTCTAAAGTTCACAAAGGGTAAGTCATACATTATACTGCATATCCAGACCATGCAGTGGGCTTCAGGCTTGTTTTCACAACTTTATGTTGCACCCTTGTATAGGGTGTCCACCAGGTACGGGCAACAGGCAGAGCTCAAGGAGCAAAATCAGCATTTGACGATTGTCAACGAGGAGCTGCAGAAAAACCTCACAGAGACACAGGTACAGGAAGGATTGTAGCAAAAATAAGTACTTGTATTAATGAATAGTTCATAGAATACAATTATACATCAATTACACATCAATTCATCTTATGTTATTAAAATTTGCTTTGCTAATGTCCTTGTTCTGTTGCAGCAAAGGGTAGATGAGTTGAAGCTGCAGTTCAGTGACCTTGAGAAGGAGAATGCAGAGGCACAGAAACAGCTGAAGGACTGCCATGTTCTCCTAGTCGCAGCAAAAATAGACCCAGGTGAATAAGTATCCATAGTTTCAAAAGGTGTTTTTGTCAGCCCAATTTCAGTGGTTGCTTAACCCAAAAACTCTTTCATTCTTAGTTTTAGGAGAAAGGGTTGGAGATGCTGCACAACAAAATGAAGATCAAAGAAAAGAAGCTATGGTACATATACTTTATTTCAGTTTACTTATGTGATGTTATATATATTTACAGTCATGTTTTGTTTGTTATATTCTTTACAAAACTTCAAATCAAAGTACATTTGAATCCAATTCCCACAAATAACCTCAAACTGGAATATAGAAGAAATTAGAAACATACACTTATTAATTTGTTCCATACCTCATAACCCCACCAGTACCAACAAAGAAAGTTACATATTTCAAAATTATTCAAATTTACAATATGCTTGTATTCAACACACACAGGCTTTTGGTTGTTATAGACAACACCATCCAGTCAACACATCTTCCCCTGTCTCTGTTTCAGAGTGTCTCTGCGGACCTGCTGAATGAATTAAGGACATTTGGTGATACTGCATCACAGCAACGTGCTCGGCTAGAGGTGAGTGAAAGTCATTGAAACTTTTGTGTTGACTAGTTTTTGCTATTTGTAGATGATCTTAGGGATGTTTGAAGGGAAATTATCAATGTCCCTTATTTTACACTTGCAGGAAATCCAAACAACAATGACAGACCTCACTAAAGCACGAGAATGCATGATGCAGGAAAGGGAGAACTTTTGTCTGGAGGCTGCTGAGATGGAAAAAGCTCTCAAGGAAGCAGAGGCTCTCTTACTGTAAAAGTGTATTGTAATCTCTCAATTTAAAATAAGTCTTCTTTAAAAGAAACTGTATATTAATGTTTGATGTGTTTTAATGTTAGTGTGATTGAAAAAGAATAAAGGTTTCTTATTGCCTGATGTTGCTCATCTCTCTTCATATTTCAGCCAAAATATGCTTTTACACACATCATGTTTTTTATGGTTCAAATGGGATGTACAATATTTTTTGTGTGTCACCTCATTTAGAATTACCCATGTCTTGCTTGAGAGGAAAACTTTATTTTGCCTCCACGCGGGCGACCTCATCCATCCCATTCTTGTGAACGTGATATATCAGGAACGCCTGGAGGGAATTTAATTACATCTGACACATATGTCCACTTGGACTCAAGGGTGAAATAATTAGAATTTGGTGGTCAAATGTCAAGGTCACCATGACCTTACAAAACAGCAATTTGACTGGTTGACAGGCCATGAAGTGGTAATTCTAGTTTTTAACACTATATCTACAACTGAAGATATTTTGTATATAAGTTGAAGATTAGAGTGTCCTGAAAGTGTAATAAAAAAAAAACAAAAAAAAGCATTCAAAAACTTCAAGTTAAAGATTTTTTCAAATATTCAGCAGTTTCACCTTTGAGAAATCTTGTCAGATTGTTTGTACATTGCATTGTTGCATTAAAAAAGGTCTGAAAGCCATTCATTAAATTGCATGAAACATCAACCCTTTACTATTAAAGCCATTTCCCTATATACAAATAATTGTCAACGACTACGTCAGAAAATAATAATTATTGCATTATTGTTATTGCAGCACTATATTACGAAGCTATACATTAATGCTCTTTCCACTTAATTCTTTGTACTTGCTTGTAGTCTGTTCTTCAAGATGACTGTGAACTCTTCATCACTCCTCAGTCCTCCTCTCTCTTCCAGTGCTTTATTTTTTGCCTTGCACATTGTTGTAGGGGTTATCGAAGATATCGAGACCAGTTTTAAGAGTGCTGGTGCTTGAAGTGGTACTAACACTCGCACCAGTATTTGTGTCCGCTGAATGGCCGGTGGTGTAGTAGTAGATGAACAGGAAGAAACCTGCCAGGCAAAAACAGATGGTCACACATATGGACACGTTTTTATACTTTATCTTTGTTTTACACTCATTGCTATTAGGTAGGTTTTTGTTTTCACATTACTCTGTATATGTTTTGTTTTTTTTTAAGTAATTTTTTTGGGCAGTTTTTAGCTTTATTCAGATAGTGACAGTGAGAGAGTGACAGGAATGTTGGGGAGAGAGAGAGGGGATGACATACAGCAAAGGGCCATGGGTCGGACTCGAACCCATCGCTGCAACCAAAGCTACAGTAAGACCATGTTAGATCTGACTTGAGTCAAATAAGTGAAATTTGAGTATGTTATAGTATCTGTGGGTCTTGAAAGATGTTACAAAGCACTGAAATAAAAAAATGGGTATTAAAAGTTTCAGGTTTAATTTACAAATTGCTAATTATTTTCTCTTGCCTGTCATAGGCAGTGATTTTTTTGTATCTGATTGCGGGTTGTCTGGCGACGTTACACACTTATGACCCAAAAGTGGACTCATTGCAACCAGGATTGTGCATTCAGGAGGTTGTTTAATCCTTTTCATTGTGGAGTGTCAGTCAGCACCATCAGATCTGTAGCAGACTCTGGTACTACTGCTAGGGAAGCTCATCACATCATAATGGGTAAATGTGATTGTTAGCAATGACTTAAATGAATGATGGGAGTAAAACAAGCTGTAAACGGTGACATAATATCACCTTATGGAGTTGATATGGGAAACGGTTTAACCAGCATTTACCTAAATAAACATGCAGGACATAAATATTAACAATGGCAATTATCTGGAGTCATTTATTTCCAAACATGTTTGTTTGGAAATGATGCAAATGAGACTGGTGAGAGTTAGCCAAAATTATTGGTTATAACTGTTGGATCATATCCAGATGTGAATACCTTGAAAAGAATTGAGGACTGTGAAAATGTAGTAGGAGGGGATTCGAAGGACGCCGTAGGCGAAGAAGGCAAAACCCCATGTGATACCCAGCATGCAACACAGTCCCAGGATAGTTAGGATGCTAATGCCATTTCTTTTAGTTTCTACGGTGCCAGTTTTGGATCTCTTGAGACAAAAGAGCCAGGACAGTATGATGATGAAGGTAGTGAAAGTGAAGAGGAAGACCAAAGCATAGTAGCCTATGTTGACAAAGTAGTGGATGTAACTGTCTGTTATCCAGCACCTGCGAAGAGAAGGATATGTCAGTACCGTACATTACGTGATACTGTTAACTATTGAAAACTGTATGTGAATCACAGACACACTTACATGGCCACACTGTCTTCAATGTTATCAGTGTAGATTACTTGTTCACCATATTTTCCTATGATGAGCAGGACAATCCCAACTATACTGGGTATCACTGGAAATGGAGAAAGGAAATGAACAATGAGCAATTAACCACTGAACTGCAAATGTCTTGTCAGATAAAACAGCCAGGAGAAAAGTTTGCACTGTGAACTTCTGAACTTACTCCAGCAGGTGAGGGAGACTTTGAGAATGTAACGATGGATGTCAATTTTGCCGCCCCTGTACAGCTGCAGGCAGATGTGGAAGGCCTGTGCAGCAAACCAAGTGAAAGTGGCCAACATGAAGTAGTGCATGAGAGCCGCCATGATCTTACAACCCACGGTATTCCTCACTTTTGCCACAAAGTTGTTGATCAGGAAAGTGAAGTTAAGAAAGAACATGGCCAACACCAGGTGGATCAGGATTATCGTGGCTTTAGTGGCCTTGGTCTTCCTGTGAGGAGAGAGATACAACACAGAAGTCATGTTATGTTAGGATTTCATGACCGTTTGATAGAATAAAATAAAAAAATGAAATCATGTGCTCTCAGAAATTGCAATGCACATTTTCAGTGTTTTAGAACATTTTATAAATGACTAATCAAAAAATGATCAATAGATTAGTTGCTGATTAAATCAATCATTAACTGTGGCCCAAGAGAAGAGAACAATGAATGAGCCAAAAGAAATATTACATTAGTAAAAATATGAATGAAAACAATTAAAGTAAAATAATATTACCAAGTTGAATTTATTCAAACGAATCTGAGGCAGTCATAAATTTCAAATTAAGCTACATATGATTATAGCACAGTTTTGAATGTGAGCGATCATGAGTGCCAAATGTCCAGCTCTATAATACAGTGATGTTTATTGACTAGTTTATAAGAAGTTAGAGAGGAGACTTTGCACTCTGGAGGAATATTGTGACATTGGTGAAGCCTCACACAAAACACTCAGAGGAGATTTGCCTTAACAATTTAACATTGTCTTATTCGTTAAAGTATAAATGGAAAAGTGAGTGAGGTGCAACAAGACGAGAGTGAATGTTATACATCTTGAAAATAATTCAGCTTCATGAAATAAACAAAGTAACCACATAAACCATGTGTCTGGGGCTGGAAACAGAAACACACCTTACACCTTATGGTTATTTATATAATGCAAACTCTGACTGTAAAGCCTATTCAAAACCTGAGATGCTCTGTGTGATATGTATTTACATACTACATATCTCATATATGTATATACAAAGGATTTCTTCACTTCTTTGGTCTTTGAATAATGCTTGTTTGTAGAAGTTGGCAGAGTAGTGATGTAAAAATTTTCCTGTGACCATACATGGTGAGCAAAGGGACAGGTGTGATGTATCATTTGCATAAGGTATTTACAGGGTAAGCATTTTTTTTTTTTTTAAACATAGCCTCTCACACAATGAAGCTGCTATTCAACATTCTCATTTCCCTACTGCAAACATTTTCACTAAAACTTAAACAGAGTTCCACTGTTCTCGAGAGCGAGGTTATTTACATGACCTTTCACCACATCAACCACTGTGGCTTTCTGGTTTACTTGCATGATGTTATCTGACTGGTTCACACTGTCCATCTCAGTATGTATGGCTACATTATGAGAAATGATATCTGGCAAATCACTGAATACTCAGATCGAAGTATGGGTATTTTAACAACCTGGGAGAAGGATGGTTTATATTTTTCAGAAAAATACAGATACACAGAATAACTTAAGATACACATGGTGGGTACTTTGACCAAGTCTAACTTTTTTAGACTCTGTAAATGAGAGTAATTTTTCATACCAACAAAAATAAATAACTGAAAGTTAATTCTATGTGGCCATCACTTTTACATAATTTCCTGGATTTTTTTTGGGGAAAGAACTGTAATCTAATTTTAAAGACAATGTTCTGAGAATTTTATTTTTAAATTTTGAATGTAGTTAGTTGAGCTTATAGAAGTAGTTTCTTTTTTTCTGTTGAATTTCCATTAAACGAAATGAATGAACTGCTGCCCCAAGAAATATAATAATAATATAAATAATAATATGTCTTTATTATGTGCATTTTCATCTATTGTGAAGCCATTTGGATCTATTTGTACAGAAACTGCCATTAAAATAAAATTATAGTGAAGAAAATGACAATAGAGCTCATACAGTTCCATTATTTTTACCTTATAAGAAAGTGTGTGAAGAGGACTATGCTGAGGAAAACCATGGACACGCCACAGCCAACTTGGGAGATGGTGGTGAGGGTTTTCAGATCAGAACTTGAGATGGTTTGATTTGGGGGAGTCTGCAAATGAGCAAAAAAATCAAAAAACACTTTGTCACATGCATTGGTGTTCGTATCAGGATGGTTTGTGATCATTACAGAGGGGGAACAGTTGATACTGTGGGAGAGATTTAAAATCAGACAGCTGCAGAGTGCAAACCAGTAAAATGGGCTTACAGAGGAATATCCAAATGTTTGATTTACACTGGGAATTAAAAGGGTGAAGCTTAGTATAAAGTCCAGATATTACAAAAGAAGTCACACCAGTAAGATGGCAAAGAATGTCAGATGTGAGCACTGGCATGTTATGTTGCTTCCATTTTTCACTGTCAGACATCCATCATCAGTCCAGTTAGGTCGGCTACCTATGAGATAAGAGCGGTGCATGTAAACAGTGCAGAGCAGAAACTGCAGGGGCCATGAATGCATCTGAGTGAGGAACAAAAAGAGGACGTGAGCATCAGCCCTCCAGCCAGTTGATGTACTACTATATACTGTTAATGATGATTCTGCCTTTAAATGTCCGAAAAATTATGACCAAATTTTGAGAAAATTGGCCAGAGAAAATGCAAATCAATGCGTATTTCCATCAATTACCATTACACAAATATCAGGAATTGGCTTGTCTTGATAAACAGTTGGTGGCGCTAACTCCAGCCAGGTGCTATTAAACCATTTCAGCAGAGGAATTAAAGTACTCAACACACTTCAAACTGTGAAACATAATGTAGAAAATGTCATAGAAAGATGCATCTATGTTTTGGTTTATGTATCAATTTGAGTGACAACCACATATTTCACCACATTCCTCTTACAATTGGCAACTTTTTTTCTGGGCCAGAAAAAAAATTGGAAAGTGTAAGCAGGCACTCAGGCCGAAAATAGCCCTGTGTTGAAATAAGGCAGGGGGCTGCTTTGCGGTTTCAGGTACAGGTCAGACAATGAAATAAAAACCAGGAAGTAAAGGTTAAGTTAACAGATGCATATGAATGCTACACATTCTAAATAAATACCAAAAAAACAAAGCGTTACACGAAGAGTTGTTGTCACGGTGACGATGATTTTATCTTTTGTCACGACAAGCTCCTGGTAAACATTAGGAGTATAGCAATCATGTTACATAGCAATCTAACAGGAGTGTATACTTGGACATATTTGATTGGCCAGAGCAGAGCTTCTCAGATGATGTTGTGCTGTTCCATCAAAAGTTGACCTTTCATTTTTTGCCCTCTGTGTTAGGGACCCCTGTTGCATCAATGGAGGTCTTATGTTGGTTTGAATGCACCTTGCAGGGGTTTTATGCCATGCTTGAGCCATCGTTAATGTTATTAATTACACCTGTGCTTTTCATGTCAAAATGACTGGTGATAATGTAGGCTTCAGGGGAGCAGAAATTCAGCCTTCATATCAGCTCTGCTCACAGTTTTCACACAGCAACATGAATTTACATGTAACGCATGTAATAAAGAGAACAAGGGTGGCATTACTCTCCTCTGGCGGTGTGGACCCTCCCAAAATTTCATCATTGCACATTTGTAACTGTGTCTTACATACCTTCACCGTTCCACGAATAACAATGTGGAGTTCCTTCCTGTAAACAAAACAAGAGAATGTGCTCTTGAATGGTAAACAAACTCAGCTCAACAGAATGCAAATAATGTGCATTTAATTATACACTATTTTTTTTTACTTACGTAACTCATGTTCCAAAAATTGATGTTTATTTTTTCTGTGAGATTCAGGATAGTGGCTCCCATTTCGACTGCTAAAACTTCATTTCCTAAAACAGTGCTTTTAGACTCATCCTGAAAAAATGAGTTCACCACAAAATATCAACACAATTACATATGTAAGGTGTATCCATCAGTTAAGGTGAAACTTACTTACCTGACCCAGATTCAAGAATCGGAAAACGGCCGCAAATGGTACGGTGATGTTCGAACTTTGAGCTTTTTCAAACGCTTCTTTTGACACTGTAACAGATCTTGAAAAGTGAGAAAGACTACCTCTGTCTTCTATAATCTGCAGGAAAGAGCATAACAAAGTGTATTGTCAAAATTGTACAGAGCAGTTCATTATTTGAGCTTTGGGTTAACATATATTTTTCACTTGGTTTTGCACAGATATTCAGATCTTTAAAAATCTTCCATTATGAGCTGAAGTCTTGAATTCAATTGTTTTGCTTGATACAGAAATATTATCAGCAAAGTATACTTAAACATTGAAAGTACAACTACGCTTTATGTAAGCAGTCCCTTTCAGACTGAATTGTTAGATCTTTAATATTGTTTCAATCACTTGGATGCAGCTTTTTTATGTTTTAGTTGTTTAGATGGAGCTAATTATGACTACCTTAAAGTGTTCAGTGGTATGATAAATAATATTGCAGCAAATTGCATGAACTAGTTGTCAAATAAATGTGGTGGGATAAAAATGCATCCATCAGAGTATAAAGTAGCAGAAAATAGAAATAAATAGTAGGTAAAGTGTAAATACTTAAAAATACCTCAAAGTACTGCACTAGAGTAAATGTAATTTTGGGAACTACTGTCTTCCATCTGCCTCATACGCCTGTGCAGCATCTCTGGCAGTAGCACTAGTTATGTGGCCGATGAGCACATGTTTTGGTCTTAAGTCACTGCACCTGGCTGTTGTTTGCCAAGAAATAGTTCTAGCATATAACCCTGCCTAAAACCACAAAATGTCATTTTTACATTTCTGTTTATGTATGAATTAAACTAATGTGATACACACGGTTAGTTTGTGAGTTTTTGAGTTATTTTTTAACTAGAGTCATGGGAGCTGTTTACCCCATGCCTACTGTCGTCATGTTAAGCTACTTTAAGTTACTCTGTTATTTTATTGACATAGCACATGTATGAAGGTCAAATAAGAGTAATGCACCCACCCGTAAACTGTCATTTACAGACATATAAGCAAAGGAGACTTCTTCTAGTTCCATTTCTGTATTTTTCACTAAGATGCCCGTGACTCCTTCTCCCGCAGACAATGCAGCTGTAGACCCATTGATGGAGGAGGCAAGTTCAGCCATTTCATCCATCACTTTACTGTTGACAGATTAAAGAATAATGGCTTCTAGAAGTATCACATGTGTAACTTTAATATATTCTAAAAAAAAAATTGACATTTTTATTGTTGAAACCTAAATATAGACATTGATGTAGCTAACAATTTTTTAAAAACGTAATACATCTGCCCCGTTTCAATCTCAGCATTTAAAGGAATAGTTCAACATTGTATATGTACATCTATTTGCTTTCAAAGGGAGAGTTAAAGGGTTTGTCCATAGTGTTTCAAATGTCTTTCCACCGAACTGCACAGCAGGACTGCGAATAAAACTCAACTAACTTCATGAACATATTGCATTTCCTATGCCTTCTTCTTAGTTTGCTCGTGAAGCAGCAACAGTAGGAAATGTTCAGTTTGCATTTGCAGTAACTTAACACAGCTCCAATGAGCAATCAATATATACAGGGAAAAAAAACATAGGCCTAACACTAAACTCCAAACCACAGCTGAGCACAGACAGACTTTTGAAAACAGAGCCTTCTCTCTAGGCCTCAGCACAGACACAAATAGTTTAGCTGTCAACACACACAGCTAACAGGAGGAGAAGTAGTGAAACGTGTGTCAGTACTCCTTAGCTCGGCACGGCCTGGCTACAGCTGACCAACCAGAGCTAATGGAAAAACCCTTATGAATGAGAAGATCAATACCACTCTCATCTCTGTGCATTAAGTATGAACCTGGAGAAGGAAGGCAATTATCTTAGCTAAGCTTTTGTACTAAATCACACACAAACAAAAAAATGTATTAAAAAAAAAAAGCAGCTTTAATCTGCCAAGTAGATTATTTTTTTACTATAGACAGAGCCAGGTTTCTCCCTGCTTCCATGTCTTCATGCTGAACTAAACTAATCACCTCCTTACTTCAGCTCCATTGTGGTTCGGATCTCCTTATCTAACCCTCAGCAAGAAAGTGATTAACTACTGTATATTCTTCTAAATAACTGTTCATTTAATAAATTAACAAAACATTTCCTACACAGCTTCAACTGGGTCGAGTCCTCCGTCTTTAATTGGAATTGTTTTATTCAGAACAATTTCCGTCTCAGGCGTTTTCACTGGATTATTACAGTTGACACAGTTTTTTTTTGTTGCTGTAATGTTGATGATGTATCTGTCCGTGAGCAGTTGATCTGAAAAGAAGGGACATCTAGTTTTAGTGTTACATTGTTAAGTGTCAGCTAGCCTCTTGTCAATAGTCAATATATAATGGAGTATAAATTTTCACTTCAGTTCATTCAATATATATACTAGGGTTGTCAAAGATATCAATACTCAGATACTAATTGATACTAAAAATTAGTATCGGATTAGATACTCATTTGCAACAGTATCAATACCAACAGTACTGCAGGCACACAGCCCCTCCCCAAACTAGCAGCTGAACACATGAACGCTAGTTGACATCCATTACACTGAGCTGATGTCGCCAGCACAAAACTAAATTAACATGGCAAGTGCTTCTGCTGAAGAGCCTTCGTGACCTGTTTTAGTTGAAATTGAAAAAAGCAAATGTGCCGTTTGGAATTATTTTGCATTATTATTTTACCTGGCCAGTATATATATATATATATATATATATATATATATATA